TCGAGAAGCTGACTCAGATAAGGAAATATATGATATAGTATGATATTATATGATCGATGATCTGATTGATAATGTGATATGAATGATAAGTGCGACACGTCGGCATCTTAAACTGTATTTCCTTTATACTTAATAGATTTAAACTCCGCACACTGAGCTCTGATCAGGTGGTGCTTTCACTGAGTTGATCTCTTTTATATAAACGCCAGAGGCAGGCAGCGTCAGATAAAACAAGTTATTTAGCCTTCCCAAACCTGAGCCTCACGCGCCACCTATGTGTACGTCATTGTCCATTGTTTACTTCCTGGGTACTGTGACGTAGGAATGGCCAGTAGCCGCGCCCAGAGCAATGACGCGATACAGTCATGCGTTACCTGGAACCAAATGGACCAATCCATGGAGCCGTTACCTGACGTCCGCGGAGCCGTTACGTTAAGCCCCCGCTGATTGGTCCAAATTGACCAATCCACAGACTTTCTCACACACACACATTAGGCTTGTTTGAGACGAGCTGCGGCTCGCCTCGAAAGTAGACGAGAATAGCCGATCGCAGCCGGGGGAGGTCTCAAAAAGCTCACCTGAAGTCGGACGGCTCCGAGTCGGCTTCTTCTTCGCCTTCTTCTTCTTCGCCTTCTTCTTCTTCTTCTTCTTCGCCTTCTTCTTCTCTCTGTTTTTTGGCGGATTGCAAACAACTTTAAGGTGCATACCGCCACCTCCGGAGTCGGCTTGACTCGGTTTGCATTTATAAAGAATGCACACATGTGTTTAATCGTTAATGTCAGATATGTACTAAGTAAATACATTTGTTCCTGCTCAAGATTAGATTCAACTTTATTGTTGTTGCACATATTACAGGTACTGAGACAACGAAATGCAGTTTAGCTTCCAACCAGGACTGCAACAAGCAGTAAAGTGAAAAGTAATGTACACAATCTACAGAATAAAATATAGAATGAATTGAATGATGAATAAACAGTGAGGGGTATGAATATACACAGCAGCCTGTGAGCAGTATGAACAGTGTGTATGAATATGCTAAGATATATAAAGTATGAAAACGGTAAGCAGTGCAAGTATAGTATAAAATATATAGATATGAATTTCATGATGATAAACATTGTGGAACAATGATGAAAAATGTGAATGGAAGTGGCGACGTAAAACTGACACAAAACAACAACAAACTTTTGCCGAGCCAATTGGAGAGTTTCATCAGCAGCACGTGATAAAAACCACCAATGAGCGCTCAGCTCGAGATACCAGCGAGTCGTTTCCCATCAAGCATTTCGCTTCCGCAGCCCGTGGAGAGGAACTGCGCCGCCTCGCCGCGCCTCGCTCTCAAGGCTGCGGGCGTCTTTGTCCCGCAAGATTTCAACGTCTCATGTAGGCGAGCCTCCAGAGCAAGTCGGACAAAATGACTAACCATCCTGCAACGCACTAGCAAGACGTTGATTGAAATTGCGCACTCGCTTGTCTCAAACAAGCCTATTTACAGCCTGCCGTATGTACTACAGCGTCTCCAGCGCTTTCGAGCGGTCTCGTGTGAGCGGACACGTTTCTGGTACCTGTTGCCTGTTGCTTGTGGACGGAAGACTTTTTTGATAACGATTGCGGTCCGTTTGAGTTATCGTCCTCGTGTGGCCGGGGCTTTATTTTCCCGTCTCTTCTCAAGGTTCCTACAGAAGAAAGCATTTGTGTTAAATATGTATTCCAAAGAAGTGGCTATGATGTTTTAAAACTTGGCATCTGTTCTTTTTCTTTGTTTTACAACACAGAAACTGGTGGACGTCCCTCTTGGAGAAAAAGTTCCAAGAAACAAATAAATGTCTCTGGAAAGCAAATACATTGATCACTCAAACCACAAGATGCAGCTCGGGCTGATTTTAATGATCTGCAAAGTCATTTACAGTCACTCTGAAAACATGTGTGACTCATAGGAGTGTCCATGTGAGAAAACAAAATGAGGAATGTTTAATTGGGGACAGCTGTTTCTCGTTTGTGATCTCTTATCTTCTCTGAAGCCGTTGTCTGTTCCTTCTCTCACATTTTAAGATGAAACATGTTGATAATCATGATAAAAGGAAGATTTTGTTTCTTGGTGATTTTCATCTCAATTTATCACTGACACTTTTTTAAAATTTCATAAATGTAAAGGAATTATATGCAGGACAGGGTACAAGATCTTATATGAATATAATTATTATATTGCACTTTAAAGAAGAGCCTCTTTTCAGAAATGTATGTAAAATATTGTCCAAAATTATATATTAATAATAATAATTAGAATGTTGATACTTTTAATAAAAGACACATTAAATGTTCTGCTGTCTGTTTTGTTCCTTTCTTCTTCATATATAAAGAATACAAACAATAAACAAATTAGTTGGTTAGTTTGACATTCCTGAGTCAAGTTATAATGGGCCTGCTTCTCCAAAAATACATAGTATAGTATGTCGTAAATGAAAGAAAACGGCATGTATAGTTTGTTGAAAATATGAGAAATTGCCTAGTATAGTAAGTCAAAAATATCAGAAACGACATACTGTAGTAGGTCAAAACATGTAAAAAAAAACATTCAAATTACAGTATATAGAAAATCAGTAATCAGTATGTTAAAAAAAGATAAAAATATAGTATGTTAAAAATATCAGGAAAAATGGTGACTAACGTTTTAGAAAAACTTGTGCTCATTATGTATCATGTCAATAAAAGGAATGAATTTCTGTAAAATATCTGGTTACCTTTGTCGCCCCCTGGTGGTTTGACACAAAGGGTTTCCTCAAAGTCACGTGATTTCTGGGAAAAGGAGCGCCTCGCGGAGAGACAGCAGAGTCCGGACCGCAGCCCGTGAGCAGTCCCAGTCCGCGGTACGAGAGGAAACAAATCCGAGGTAAACGAAACTCAAAGCTACTTCCTTATAACACCTATCCGTCTATATTTAATATACTTATTCATATCACAGTCATACTTAGAACTTAGAAGCATTTTCGGTTCCTAAACAAACCTGCATGTAATAAAAGCGAAGGATTATATTTATTGTGTGATATGTTTGTTTATAGTCCCGGGTAGAATAACACTGTCCACACGAGTCCTAAATCTATATTTGCATTACATCAAATCGACGTTTATACTTTTCACTGTTATATTTGTATTATTATGTGTTTTTTGTCAATGCTTAAGTGTTATTAAAGTGTCAAGAGATGGATATGATGGGATGTAACACGAGTCTGATAGTGGTTGTTTGTTATTGTGTCGTCTTTGTTTTCAGTCTTAAAGAGCCATGGCAGGAACGAGAACGCGCTCCACGCGCAGACTGCGCTCGTGGATCGTCGAACAGGTGTGTGTGTATGTTTGTGTCTGTTAAAAAAGTGTGGGGGTGTGTGTGCGCGTGAGTGTGTGTGTGTGTTTCTGTTGTTTTGTTAAGAAAATGTGTGTGTGTGTGAGGCAGAGGGAGGGGGAGACGGAAATAGAGAGATAACGGGCTCTAGTGACATTAAACAAACAATTAACTCTGTATCAGTGGTGGAGACTGGAAAAACACTGTATTCCAATTATACTTTACTGAAGTGCTCAAAAGTAGTTCAATTATATATTATGTTATTATTACTCATGCTTAATTTAAAGCAGGATTTCAATGTTAGGTTGAGGTCAAGCTAATGTTTTAACTATTATCAAATGATTACTTTCATTATGGATTAATCTGTTAATACCGTTAATTCTCATGCATTATTAGTTGACTGTTTGGTTTGTAGAAACAGTTGGAAATATTGTGAAACCTTAACAATGCTTGTTTTGTCCAAGCACAAGTCAAAGTCTTGCATTATTAGTAATCAGTTCAAATTAGTTAAAGGAAAAATACCAAATATGAACCCTTATGACATGAAAAATTGTTGCCAGTCTGTCAATCAATTAATTGATGCCGTATTTCAAATATTTGTTAGTAAAGTAAAAATGATAAGTAGTTTTATACTGTATATGACTTAAACTAAGGTTCCTTATCTTCTGGATTGGTTAATTGGTTTTTACCATTTCAATTATGTGTTAAAAAACTAAATGAACAACCTTCAAAAAGACAGATTTAGAAAATGTATGCATTTTACATTATAAATAGGTTTCTGAGATTGTATAGACAGATAGATTAACAATGAAAATAACAACATAGAAAACATCTGGCTTACCTTTTGGCTGCAGGTCAGCAGTGAGAAATTCCCAGGGCTGATGTGGGACGACGATGCAAAAACGATGTTCCGCATCCCGTGGAAACACGCAGGGAAACAGGACTTCCGTAAAGACGAGGACGCCGCCATCTTCAAGGTCAACAGCCCTCTTAAATAAATCACCTAATTCATAATCCAGAGTCTCTGAAATGGCACTCAACAGAGTTTTGTGGCGTCTTTGTCTCCGCAGGCGTGGGCCGTGTTCAAAGGCAAGCTGACGGATGGGAGCCAGGACAACCCGGCCTCCTGGAAGACGCGCCTGCGCTGCGCCCTCAACAAGAGCACCGAGTTCATGGAGGTGATGGAGCGAGCCCAGCTGGACATCTCCGAGCCCTACAAGGTGTACCGCCTGGTGCCCGTCAGCGAGCAGAGTGAGACCTCAACCTCCTACACACACTATTTCTACACACACTATTTCTACACACACTGCGCAGATTTAGAGAGGCCAGACTTTGCCACACAGGGATGGAGATTAAGATTTACCAGAAAAGAGCGCAGTGGTGAAAAGCGTTTCAAAGTGACTTCATTGGCTTGCTGTCAATAAGCAACAAATACATCATATACAATATGTGCAAAGTTAGAAGAGTTCGCAGCAAACGCTCTGCTATAAAATACTTACTTTTAGACTTGCTACTCCAACGATAATGTTTTTATATGATAGCGGTTAGTTTCAGCACATTTTTGGGAACTGGTTGATATTAGTTTGTGGAGTTACAGTTATTATCTATTTTATTTATTTATTTTCAGAGAGTTATTACATTTCTTTGAATGTTGGATCAGACAATGCAATCATTTGAAGCTCTGAGAAAGGGTAACGGCCCTGTTTTCGAAAACTTTCTGAGGTTTTATAGACGGATTAATTAACAAACAAAATATAAAACATGTGGCTTACCTTTCGATGCCTTCTTCACCCCCTCCTAGCAACGTCCAGATAAACATGGACTGACCTGCGTGAGGTAGAGCCTGAGAGGTGGTTGGCACCAATAACAGAGAGTTTATCTGAATGTTGTTGACACTGTAGCTTCATAATGACCGTGCAAGTTACAGTGGAGAAAGAACATATTGAGCAAAGTAAAAGTACTAATACCACAGTGTAGAAATACTATGCTACATGTAAAAGTCCTGCATTCATTTGATTTAAGTTTAAACATATTAGCATTAGAACATAATGGAAGTACCAAAAGTAGAAGTACTCATTACTCATGTCTTTTTACAGAACAATATAAATTAGGTTGTAAAAGTGAATGTGTTTAAATGTTGCATCTGAGTTCCCTAAATAGTCCAAGTTGATTTTGTATTGATAATCTAACTCTGCAAAGTAACCTGTTACGACAAAACTAAAAGTAGTGGGACAACATTTGCTTTCAAGAAGTATAAGAGTGATAGAACAGATGTAGGAAACCAGTTTGAATATTCTTTATCATTTGTTTCCTCTCCATTTCGGATGACGGACGATTCAGATGTCTTTGTATCATTTAATCTGGGGGGGGGCCAGCAGAGGGGAAGAATATATTTTGATAAGACTATCAGCAGCAACATGAGGCTTGAAATGCAACATGTGTGGAAAGAAACTGCCTCAATATTAAGGCAATTGGCTCTGCATGAAAAAACACATTCATGCCTGAGCCTTAACTATAGACTGTATATATAAGGTCTTAACATGCAAATGATATGGTATATAATAGTATACTTGTCATAGGGGACATGTTTACACTTTGAAGGCTTTTGAAAGTGCTTTACAAAAATGAAAAACATTGAGAGCTAGAAACTTGATCTTTTGGTCTCAAGCTATGTTTCGATGTGTTAGCCGATCTGCAGCTCCATCCTAAGAGGGGAAACTAGTGGATATTTGCAGGCTGTGATTACACTTGTATTCTTAGCGTTTTGCCACTCAGCACACAGACTCACATCCTGTTAACATCAGCACCAAACACTCATTTCAAGTTACACAATGTGACCTGTTACGACAAAACTAAAAGTAGTGGGACAACATTTGCTTTCTAAAAGCAGAAGAGTAGAAGTGTAAGAGTAATAAAACAGATGTAGGAAACCAGTTTGAATGTTCTTTATCATTTGTTTCCTCTCCATTTCGGATGACTGACGATTCAGATGTCCTTGTATTGTTTAATCTGTCAGGGGGCCAGCAGAGGGGAAGGATATATTTTGAAAAAAACATTGAGAGCTAGAAACTTGAACTTTTGGTCTCAAGCTATGTTTCGTTTTGTTAGCCGATCTGCAGCTTCATCCTAAGAGGGGGAACTAGTTGATATTTGCAGGCTGTGATTACACTTGTATTCTTAGCATGTTGTCACTCAGCACACAGACTCACATCCTGTTAACATCAGCACCAAACACTCATTTCAAGTTACACAATGTGACTTTAGAAACCTCTCCTGCTTGTGTCACGATGGACTTTCCTCCCGTCACTCCCCATCTGTTACTGTTTCCCACGCTGAATCACGTCCACTCTCTTCCTCCTTGTAGCTCTAATACTCTTGCTTTAGCCTTTGTAGTTATACAAACGTTCCACAGTGTCAAGAACAAAGCCAGACCTTTCCACCTGGTGCTTCCTTGTGGTTCAGCTCATTGTAAGTCAACAACAACAATAGGTCAAATGTCTGCAGACCTGTGGTCCACCTGAGTGACATCAGCTGGAAGCTTTTTACAACCTCTGCTGTTTGCTCTGCGCTGCCATTATTAGCTTTACTGCCCTTTAATGCCCTCGTGTAAAACATGCCCTTATGTATTACTGACCTTTACCTCCTCTCTGTTTGAATCTGTTTTATTGTGTTTTGAGGACTTATTACGTAAGGCTTCGCTCTTTAGTTTGAAGCTGTGCTATTACCATGAGTTACTGTAGTGACCGAGGGAGAAAGGGGCAAAGTACAATTCAGATTTCTTTACGTTCCTTATGAACGATCTGGCTTCTCACTTCAAATACTTTGGAGAACGGTTTTGGATGGAGTTGTCACCATCTACTTTGCTTACTTTACTATTGCTCGTTTCCTGAAATGTATCTGCACTCATGATACATTAAACCACAGTGGAAGACGGGTCAAGTGACTTCCCTGTATTACCACGTGGGCTGTTTTGCCGAGTCAGCAGGGGAGTGAATTTTCTTTCTGAGGTGAAAAGTTCAGCCGACTTGGTCTTCTGGGAAAATAACGTTTACTTTGACTACAGCGAACCCTTCTTTCCGTATTCATAAACCCTGACGTACCGGTTGTGCTTTATTGATATCTTTGACATGTATCTGTTTAGATGTGATGGTTCCAGAAAAGAAATGCAGAGCAAAAGTCGCCAAGAGGTCTAAGAGGAGGAGGAGCAGCAGCAGCAGCAGCAGCAGCAGCAGCGACGACAAAGAGAGCAGCGACGCCAGCCAGGTCAAGCAGATAAAGGAGGAGGAGGTCACCTCACAGCTGGTGAGATGACACATACTGCTCTCTGCTACTTCTACTCTATATCTCAGAGGCTGCACTTTTACTGGACTCCATGTATCTGACCTCAGGTTACTTCATTGATTAAGGATTTGCATGAACACAACATTTGATCAAGTTACAAAATATGATACTAATCAAAGTACTTTTACTTTATTGCTTTGAGTACATTCTGCTGTTAATACTTTTCACTTCTTAAAGAGGCCCTGTCTTGCTTTTTGTTGTTTTCCCTTTTTCATAGTGTGTTATATAGCTTGATTGCATGTTTACTGCAAAGGCTAAAATCCCTGTGTTCCCTCCAGAGTTTCTCTCCAACATACTCCTAGTCATTATACACGCGTGCTTGTATTGGCTAGCGCTCCAACAAATTGTACGTGATAGGCTAAGGGGCGGGACATCTCTAAGTGGTTGATCAATCACAACAGAGCCAGCCAGCTAACCAATCAAAGCAGACTGGGCTCTGGTTTCAGACAGAGGGTGAAAATAGGTGCTGCAGCACAGGCAGTATGAGAACAATAAAGAGCTTTTTGAACATTAAAGCATGGAGACATGTAGAGACACTACATACTGATATACACCTGAACATCAGCAGGAGAGGACTCTTTAAAGTAGAGACACTACATACTGATATACACCTGAACATCAGCAGGAGAGGACTCTTTAAAGTAGAGACACTACATACTGATATACACCTGAACATCAGCAGGAGAGGACTCTTTAAAGTAGAGACACTACATACTGATATACACCTGAACATCAGCAGGAGAGGACTCTTTAAAGTAGAGACACTACATACTGATATACACCTGAACATCAGCAGGAGAGGACTCTTTAAAGTAGAGACACTACATACTGATATACACCTGAACATCAGCAGGAGAGGACTCTTTAAAGTAGAGACACTACATACTGATATACACCTGAACATCAGCAGGAGAGGACTCTTTAAAGTAGAGACACTACATACTGATACACACCTGAACATCAGCAGAATATGTCTTAAGCAATTCTTAACAGTATAATACTTATGAGTGTAGTATCCTGTTAAGGTTCAAGGCTTGTATTAGTCATACGTTCATAGCTACAGTAGTTATGACGATGAAAATCTGAGGTCACAAGCTCCTCCAACAGTGCAACACAATAAAACAGAAAGACAGAAAAAATAGTGCAATAAGAGTTTATATACAAGTGATTGGAATATGATATATTAAATAAATAATTTCTAAGTTGCAGCCAGATGAATGTTATGGATGTTGTTTTGAAAGTGCAGGTGTTGAATGTGATTGTATGCTGTTTAAGGTTGATACTAAACAAAAGTATTACCATCGTTTAACACTGCAGGAAGTCACACAATAAGTGTGAGGTGAATAAAGCTGTGACTTTGAAAAGCTAGTACTAATTTAAGTTCTCAGAGACATCGAGCAGACTCCGAGACAGTTTTATCCCACAGGCCATAAGACCACGTAGTGTCTGAGCTTGCACTGTTTTTATCGTTGTTTTTTTAAATGTAATTGATATCTTGTAAATGCGTTGTTGAGGAACCTGTGACCCAAGTGTTTCATGCATTACATACTACACCATAGTTTTGAACATGATACGAAAACAAACTTTGGATATTTAACTTATTTGATGTTTAACTGTGTGTTCTCAGTGTGTTGAAGAGGATCTGTGGACGGTCCGCCCTGCAGAGACAGAGGACCCCGCTCAACACACCTCCAGCAGCACCGCACACAGAGACGGTGAGCTAACATGAACTTTACTCCACAGGAAGTCACAGACTGTCTGCTCTAACGCTGACACGGATATGTTTGAGATCAATATCTTGACCTCAAGAGAGTTCTCTGCACAGATAGTGTGTTTACATGTAGCTGACCTGAAATGACTTGACCTTATTTGACCCACTTTTTTGAATAGTAGTTCAAATCATGCAACACTTATATCGCGTCATTTTCCATCCCTACTAGCTAATCTTTTGATCATCCAAACTTAGATGCAAACTACGTATTGGAAAGAGAGGCTATTTGCTTTCTGGGTGCTTTGCATTGGACTGGATTATAAACCTGATCTCAGCAGATAAATGTGTCCACAGCGTGAGAAGAAAAGAATAAGGAAGCTGTGCTGCTGCTGTAATATAAAAGGGCAAAGAGGATATGTAACAATGCTTTGAAGGCTTACCAAAACGGAAACACCCAAAGTAGCAGCAACAAATGAAGAAAGCCACATCACCACTGCAGTTCAAAAAGGTTATAATGGGAATGTTAACGTTCCAATGTCCTATACCCTTTTGCCATTACTTCACAGGAGAGTGATCCTGACGCAGACACAAACTGATGAATTTCAGGTCTTTTGCTGCCGTTTAGAATGATGTTTTATTGCTTTACATATCAAGGTTTAAGTACACTGTGTCAATAGGTGTGGTGAGTATCTACCGGGGCTGGTAGAATCGGTATGCTCTTCCTCCTCGTCATCTCCTGTCACCTATGACCGCTTTTATGCACACGGTGCAGCTAAACCCCGCCACCAAGTGTTCAAAAATAATATTGCACTATACATATAAATTAAAGTAAACTGAGACGCCAACAACACCCACACAATGGCTCCTATAAAGGTGATGCTTCCAAGATAAGGGGAGAAATGTAATCACTGACATGCTGCATGTATACCGTTATTTACAGTAACAGTGTGAAACCCGCTTCACTGCATGTCATTGTGTCCTGTTTAAACTAAATCTGACCTCAAAACAACAGCTGATCATCCCTTTTATTTCCCTCTCTGCAGTGGTTAATGAATTTACGTTGGACGTGCGGTTCGAGGAAAGCATCTCTGCTCCAGTAGGAGGTAATTGATCAACTTTGTTTTTGAGTGCAATGCCATAGGAAGTTGTTCTTACAAGGAGGAGGAGTTTCTGACTGATATAACTACAGTATCTTATTTGGAAAGGTCTTTTTGTTTATTGTTATCTTATCTTATCTACACATGCCTTAATTCTCCCGCTCCATCATTGTGTTCCCAGATGAGGATTCCTTCGGTGTGGTGGTTCAATATTTAGGACAGCAGGTTGTTAAACGTCACATCCAGAGAAACGACATCAGGATTCTGTACTTGCCTTCGTCCTCGGTCCCCCCAGCGCCGGCCGTCCTGAAGGGCCGGTTCCCTCGCGTCCTGCTGCCGGAGCCCCCCCCCTCGCTGCCAGCGGGCCCCGAGCTGCAGGCCCTGTTCACCCTGCTGCCCTTCATGGAGAAGGGGGTGGTGCTGACCTCCGCCCCGGGGGGGGTTTACGGCAAACGCCTGTGCCAGGGGAGGGTCTTCTGGACGGGGCCGCACTGCACCACCCCGGGGCTGCACAAGATGGAGAGGAACACGGAGCCCGTGATGCTCTTCTGCAAAGAAACGTTCAAACAACGTGAGTTCCAACGCTGAACCTGAAACATGTAGAATGACAGTCACCACATAAGAGGGACTTAGTCTGCATGTTTTTAGTTTAGTGTATGTTAACACGGCCTGTTCACCTTTTTTAGAACTTTGTATTTATTCCACAAATATATAACATACATGGAGATGTGCATAAAAATCACACCCGCCTGTTTACAGTCCACTCAAATCTACACATTATTGCTCACATACACATACATTAATTACGCCTTTCCTTCCATGTCTTGGCAAAGTATACATACAGACATTCATTTAAAGGGGACCTATCATGCAAAATGCACTTTTGTACGTCTCTTATACATGAGTATGTGTCCCCGGTGTTCCAGTGAACTCACCAAGTGTCAGAAAACACAACCCTCTCTATTTTCCTCCATACACAAATCTCTTAAAAAGGGGCTGCAACGGATCTGATACAGACTGATCCAGATTTGAACACTTCTATGACGTCACAGAAGTGGCGCTACGGCTATTGGGCCAACTCCACCAATCAGGAGGAGACAGCCACGGACATTGCCGTTGGAAAGCTCTGGAGACGCTGTAGTACATATGCCAGGCCTGTAGATGGTGCTGTTCTCACAGAATCAGCCCATGATGCAAAGACAGTGTTAAATTGAGCGAAATGAGGAATGGCTAAAATGCATGATCTGTTTGGTATTTTGAAAAATAAAAAGTATAAATATGCCTTATATAGGTATGGTCCTACACTATATTATTCAAATATAGCATGATAGGTCCACTTTAAATTCTCTGAGCGTTCCCTGGGTAGTCGGTACGGACAGGTTCTGTTTACCTTTTCAAAGCAATATTCCCAGATAGCTTGTCTTCATCCAGATTCAGACCATAAACCAGTGAATTAGTTTAAACTCAAATGTCGTCTGATCTCTGTGCTGCATTATTAATGATCAATTTGTTTTTCCCATAACCAGAACTACACAACTCCCGTATGAGCGGCGCCGATCCTCCTCAATGCGGCATCACTCTGTGTTTTGGAGAAGAGCTGAGTAACACTGAAGACCCGTCTAGCAAACTCATTATTGTTCAGGTAAATGTCCAAACTCTCGAATCTGTAGCGACTCAGACGACTGGATGATATTTGTTTCTAAGCATTTGTACTCTCAACTAGTCATGAACACCGGACGTTAGCTTTGGTTTGACATTTCAAATCTCTGATTGGATTTCAACACCAAAGGGATTCGTTCTGCCTTAAACACTTTTGTACAATGTATACACTTTTACCAGAAACAATTACAATAATAAATAACATGCTATACATATATATTTGTATATTAAAATTGGAATAAAATTGTATACATGTCTCTTTCAAATAAATCCTATCTGAAAAAAACATTTTGCAATGCAGCATGTCTTTTAGTTTTAATAGGGAAAAAACTAAAAGCACTTATTTATAACAAACAATTAATTATGTATTTCCTAAAACAGTATTGTGAATTATTTTATTTTTTATTAAAACATGTTAATTACATTCACATGAGTTATTAAAATATGTTTAATAAATGACTATTCTTTTTCAATATGTATTTACTGAAAATATTAATTTATTTTTATATTTCAAATATTGATACTTTATTAAAACTATAGTACACATCATTTCTTAATTACAAATATTATTAATGAATTTTAACTTACAATTATTAATACTCACATAAAACGATTGAACTTAGTTTAAACTATTGGCATTTGAAGAAATTACAGGTACAAAAAATGTCAAGTAAAAAAACTGTTATTCTCATTGGAAAGAATTATGTATTTTTCTTTAAATCGTTTTTCTTTTTCTACTCCAACAGAAAATGAAATGTGAAAATGAAGCATTACAGAAACGATTAAGAAAATAAATGTAAATTGTAAGTGACGCAATCAAATAATAACACTGCTGTGACCTGCTGTCCTCAGATCAGCTTCCCCTGGGCGGAGCAGCAGGTGCAGAACACGCAGGCCTTATTCGAGTCCCTGAACATGCTGCACTCTCTGGCCTCTCAGTCTCCTCTGGGGGAGATCACTCTGAACCTGGTCACCGTGTCGCCCTCCGACCCAGACTTCTTCTCCTGTGGGAACGACTGAGCACCGTGTCTGCACGAAGGGGGGGTGTAACTCCAAAAAAAGAGTATAGAGATCTGAGCAACATGTCCACATTTAACCGTATCGTCTCAAACGGTCAAAACTCCTGATTAATCAAAGAGTCTAAATTCTCCCGGAAATGTTTTTGATATCAAAATAAGAGCTTGTTTTGTAATAACAGACATGTTAACGCTCAGTCCTTATACACATAGCACAAATTGCACTTATGAAAGCTTAAACACTTTTTTTAAACTGGAGATCAAATCTTCAGCTTTTTATGTGAACTGGAAGCACTACATTTAAATACGAGTCGTCTTCAGAGCTGCACTAAAAAGTAGATCTACAACATTTTCCATTTCTATAAATCAGTGAATTCTTCCCGTTATTCTTCACACAAACATTTTCTGGTTCCAGCTTCTCAAATGTTACTATCTACATGTTCTCTTGATATGGCTGTAGTGGTAGTATCTTGGACTGTTATTGACCAAAACATGTAATAACTTCAATGTTATTTATTTTTTTACTGTGTTTTAACATACAGACTTAAAATGTGATTTGAAAAATATCATAAATGCAGCTTTAGTTGTAATAAATGTTAAAGGTGGGGTAGGTAAGTTTGAGAAACCGGCTCGAGACACACTTTGTTATATTTCATGGAATGCTCTTAACATCCCGATAGCAATGAATATCTAAAGTGCTTTGACAAAAAATCCATAAACAAATGTCATCTGTGGAAGAAGCCGTAGTGCTGTAAAAAGCACGACCAATCATCTGAGCCGGCCCGGCTAAAATAACTGGATGGCCTACCTGCCTGTCAGCCTGTCAGCCTTCCATCTGTGCACAAACTTATCTCGTGCCCTCATTGGTCATGTGCGTGTTGGAGGAGGGGCTCTGTAAGGAAGTGGCAGATTTTTTCCGGCCGTGTATTTTCAAATTCTAGCGCACTCGAGCTGGTTTCTCCAAAATTACCTACCCAACCTACTCAGATAAGTTACAATCAAAACACCAAGTAGTTCAGTAGAGTAGTGAACAAGAATATGTAACCACAATAATAACCACTTTTTTTTAATGTTATGTCTGTTAGTTAACTCCAAATCTTAGGGTTCTCATTCATCATGTTAGGTTGTTGTAGTTAAACACAAACATTTACGATAATGGGTTTTATACTGCTGTTAAAAAATATGTTATCAAAGTTGCCAAAATGACAAGTTGTACCCAGTTGGCCTTAATGTACCTTTAGGAGGGAATAAGATTAAGCTTGGGATTAGTTTTGAGAGTCCTGACTCTGCTCTAGACATGAACTATTTTACAATAGTTGTTAGGTATTGGAGAAAACAAAGAACAGACCTCCATTTCAATACAAAAGTCTTGCAGTAAAAACAGTCTGCTGACGCTCAGAATATTTAGTACATATATATATTTGTTTTAAAATATAGATTTAAAGATAATTATCGACTACATATCCTGGGTTGTACACTATGCCGTAACTGTATGCAAATATAATGGACATTTTTAAGTGTTTATCAATGTTTTTAGTATTTGTCAGTACTTCTCCTTTCAAGACATTTTATATACATGTGTAGGTAGTCTGTTTATACAGGAACCCCCACTTCTGGGTGCACACAGGAAGTCATATGTTTTGACAAATACATATTAATAAACAATTAAAAAATGGTATATGTGTTTAAATGCTCCTACAAACCCTTTATATCAGTGTTATACAAAGAAATGCTTTATTTGAAGGCAGCATCAGCTTAAACAAAATTAACTACCACCTTAATCATGATAACCTGAAACACTCATAAAAGTTTGCTTTTACTGCAAGACTTTTGTATTGTAATTTGAAGGTGTTTGTTATTATGTCACCCCCTGGAGCCTGTAATCAACATAGAAATAACAATTAAATATTAACAAAACACAAAAATACCACAGGTGCATTGCAATAGTGTTAAGGTAAATGTTTCCTTTAAATCAGAAGGGCTGCAACAAGGCACACTCTGAGGGGGTGGTCTACCGAGCTGTAAATATGTTGTTATTTATGCATGTTCTATGTTATGTCCCTGTTCAGTCTAATAAATATAAAGCTAAGCTCTGTGTGGTTGTTATAAAAATCACATGTTGGGTCAGAACATCAATTCGCACACGGCTCCACCTCGGTCTAGATGTTCCCGTTGGCTGGAGAGGAGAGCTCGGCTATCTTAGTATTCACTTTCTGATTGGTCCAGTCCTTTGTGATGTCATCCAGGTGGCTGTCAAAATCCACCAACAGCGAGTGGTCGCCCGACTCCAGCATCTGAGTGGCTATCGACCGGATCTCGTCCCACTGTCTCAGCATTATCCTGAACACAAAGACAAGTCAGTGTTCATGTTATTTAGACATTTATATTAAGCCTGGAGGTTGTTTTGTTTAAATCAAGGAACTAACAATTTGGGGGGAAAAGTATAACAGAAAAATATATTTTAATCAATGTTACAAGTCAAGAAAAATAAGAAATCAATTAATTTAATTGCACAGAAAAGAAATCTGCTGTCCAACTACTTCGGGGGGATTTTATAAAATGACCCAAGTTATACTGAATGAAAGGAGCTTTACCACTTCCCACAGTAAAAGGTTCAAGATAACGTGTGAATTATGAAGCTATTACTTGTCATTGCACTTGATCATGACAGGTGATGAAGTGAAAATAAAAGAGGTTGGTCGCAGCTCTAAAACAAGCCACATCGATCAAGCGGTTTGGACTAAAGAGAGTTATGCTTGAAACGTGAAAGTAGTCAGTTTTCAACTCAAGAGGCTGAACTCGAGACAAAAGATGTCCCCCTTCCGTCCGGCTGTCACTCACGTGTGTTTGTCTTTGAGCAGCCATCTTGAATCTTTGCGCTCGTACATCACGATGGGAGGAGCCCGGTCTGAACTCATCTTACTGCCATCAAGCTGTGGAGCAAAACAAGCATTTCTAACAAATCAACAAAATCATATATAGTGACATTGCAGAGAGAATTGCAGGAGTGCAGTTTTTAACTCTTCTGATCATCTTATTGTTTCACCACTAACTTATTTCTCATCTCTACAAACTGTTAAAGGGGACCTATCATGCAAAATGCACTTTTTGATGTCTTTTATACATAAATATGTGTCCCCGGCGGTGTGTCGGGGAACTCACTCAGCGTTAGAAAATAAAACCCCTTCTGTTGGGGAATAATTTGCCCTGCATGTCCTCCTTCGTCCTCTGATGCAGCTTGAGCAGCCGTTATCTCCCATAAGGAGGGGCTGCCCTAGCATATTGTTGATGTTGCCAGTTTGTGACCGGGCAACTCTCTGTCAGAGATAGTTATTGTTGTGGGACACCTGGAACACAGGCGACAACAAAATTGATTCAGTGTCCTCAGCTGTTTAGTCTATCTAGTGAAGAATATTGATTATTACACTCTGAACTAGTTAAAACCGGAGCTACAGGAGGGGTCTTCAGAATTGATTGTGGTCAACTCGTGGCCCGTGACATG